CACACACACATGTATACATGTACAAATATATACATGCACATATATGCGTATACACATGTGTGTATACGTGTGTGGCTAGTTTGATTATGAGTGATTTCATTTTCTTTTTTAGACTTTTAAAAAATATTTTCCAGATTTTCAACAGTGTATTACTTTTGTAAGAAAAATGTTAAATAAAAAACGAAACATACAAAGTAAAAGCCTATTCAGCGAATGTCTAAATTAGATCAACTGTTTAAGTAGTTAAAATTATTCTGGCTCTGAGAGGTGGAAGCAAACCAGCCTAAACTTGTCTGTCAGGTTTAGCTCGTAATCCCTTGGAATCCCTGAAGGGAACTATTACACAATGTCTTCACTTAGAGCAGCAACGTTTTACGTTTGCACATTGTTAATTGACACAGCAATGGAACATACTCTGGCTTCAGCTTTCAATTCACATCCTTATGCTTGGATTTCAGTAAACTGAAGTGCGAGTTCTTATCAGAACTATTATGCTCAAATGTAGCATCATGTACTCTCAAGTTGATAAAATATTTGCTTTTGGAAAAGGGAAATCTTACTCATTGGCAAAAAGGAGATTTTTAAAATATCTTAAACTCAATTATTTAGTTTTTCAGACACAAGGTTAACCAAAACATTTGAAGCCAGACTGATTTAAGTGCCAAGAGTATGTATGTTTTACTTCTGATTCAGAGGAAAACATAGAATTCGTGAAGTCTTTTCTGGGAAGTGTTGAAGCGCTTTGGTGGAATGATCTCTCACAGAGTGTATTTCAACCAGATGGTTCAGGAGGTCTCTTACCATTAAAGCTTATTAACCATGTTATTTAATATTAAGATATTAGTAATACAGTCATACCTTACTCATAGAAATAATTTTTTAAAATTCATGTCAAAAGTATGTTGGTTATTTATTATACAAAGACTTTTTTGGCAAAAAAAAGTGTTTCTGCATATGTTTGATTTAACAAGAAATAATGTATATACGTTTCAGAGTTACCTGAAGTTATATATGCCTGTAACAGATTTCTTTATCTTTTTTTATTAGACAAATAATAAAGTTGTTTAATATGGGTAAGCCAATAGAAGAAACTTGAAATAATCAGTAATCCTACTATCCGTAAACAATTACTTTTGGCATATTCTGTTTGTGTATGTGTGTGTGTAATCATGCTATGTATACTATTTTGAAACCTACTTTTTTCTGTATTAATATCATGAGTATCTTGTAATATATTTTGTCAGCTGCATACATAATTAAATTTATGATTATTTTTACTTAAGAATGATATATAATAATGTTCTAATTGGTTATTTACTTGACCGTTTTTAATCAGATTATTTTAAATTCAAAAGGATTATTTGTAATAAACTAGACTCTCTCTAAAATGCCTTCCTTTGAGTTTTTGTTGTAAGGTGGCATTATAAATGGGACCAACCTTGTAACTTTTGAAATAACTAATTACTCCTCAAAAGGATACAAACAAGTCCTACCTTATGGCAAATTCTGCTTTCTAGTAATTAGAGTTAATAGACGCTTCCAATATATTTCTTGCTTTTAACAGAAATGAAGTGATTTGATTTATTAATCTCTTGGGTTCCAACTCTAAAATTTGCTTCCTTATATATTTTCAGTGCATAATAACAAATTATGAAGATTAAAGGTTTGGTCCTAAAGACCTAGCTGGCATTTTTTGTGATTGTGTTATGGTTTTAAAAAACATTTTTACATTTATATTTTGAGTAGGGACACAATCCCATGATAAAAATTAAAAACCCACAAAAAGTATAAAGTTAAGTCTCCTTCCCACCTGTGTCTCTTTGTCATCCAGTTCCCCCCCAGAGGCCACCAGCACATCATTCTAGAGAGCTGTGCATATATGTCATACATAGGTATTTGTATAAAATATATTGTTTTTTCCTTTTTAAAATATAAATTTGTAATATACTATGCACACGAAGTTCTGATCTTGTTTTTTTCACTTAATCTATGTGGAAAATTTACCATAGTTCATCAATTCTAAATGTGCACTCCCCCCCACACACATTTTAACAACTCTGGAATCAGGATGCATCTTACAATCACTAGCATCTTAGATTCTATCAAATACAGTAAGTATGTAAGGAGTCTCCTCATTCGTTTTAATGACTGAGTAGTCGTTCAGTTTGTGGATGTACATTTCCCTGTTGATGGACATTAAATTGTTTTCTACTTTTTGTTTTTTTTGTGAGGAAGATCAGCCCTGAGCTAACATCCGATGCCAATCCTCCTCTTTTTGCTGAGGAAGATTGGCACTGGGCTAACATCCCTGCCCATCTTCCTCTACTTTATATGGGACGCCACCACAGCACGGCTTGACAAGTGGTGCATCAGTGCACGCCCAGGATCCGAACCTGCGAACCCTTGGGCCTTGGAAGCAAAGCACGCAAACTTAACTGCTATGCTACTGGGCAGGCCCCTGTTTTCTACCTTTTGCTTTTGACAGACAGCAGTGAATAACCTAGCAGTATATCATTGTGCACGTGTGAATTCATCTGTGGGATAAATTCCTAGAAGTGCAATTATTGGATCAAAGGATATGTGGTATTTGTATTTTTTTTTTTTCGTGAGGAAGATCAGCCCTGAGCTAACATCCGTGCTAATCCTCCTCTTTTTGCTGAGGAAGACTAGCCCTGAGCTAACATCTAATGCCAATCCTCTTCCTTTTTTTTTTCTTTTTCTCCCCAAAGCCCCAGTAGATAGTTGTATGTCATAGTTGCACATCCTTCTAGTTGCTGTATGTGGGACGCCGTCTCAGCACGGCCGGACAAGTGGTGTGTTGGTGCGCGCCCGGGATCCGAACCCGGGCTGCCAGTAGTGGAGTGCACGCACTTAACTGCTAAGCCACGGGGCCGGCCCCTGGTATTTGTATTTTTGATAGATGTTAATACATTGTCCTCCATAGAGCTTGTCCCTTCAGCAATGTGTGCAAATGCTTATTTCCCCAATGCTTCACCAGCACAATGTTATCAAACTTCTTGGACATCTGCCAAACTTATGGATGAAAGGGGTATCTTGATGTTTTCTTAATTTGCCTTTTTTTTTTTATTATCAGTGAGGTTGGCATCTATTAATTTGTTTAAGAGTCACTTATATGTTGGAGAGGATATGGAGAGAAGGGAACTCTCATGCACTGCTGGCGGGAGTGCAACCTGGTGCAACCACTATGGAAAACAGTATGGAGATTCCTCAAAAAATTAAGGATAGAGCTACCATACGATCCAGCTATTCCACTGCTGGGTATTTATCCAAAGAACATGAAAACACCAATGCGTAAAGATACGTGCACCCCTGTGTTCATTGCAGCATTATTCACAATACCCAAGACTTGGAAGCAACCTAAGTGCCCATCAAGGGACAAATGGATGAAGATGTGGTATATATACACAATGGAATACTACTCAGCCATAAGATACAATGAAATCCAGCCATTTGTGAAAACATGGATGGACATTGAGGGTATTATGCTAAGTAAAATAAGTCAGAGGGAGAAGGTCAAATACCATATGATCTCACTCATAAGTAGAAGATAAAAACAACAACAAACACACAGAGACAGATTAGATTGGTGGTTACCAGAGGGAAAAGGGGGAGGGAGGAGGGTGAAAGGGGTGATTAGGCACATGTGTGTGGTGATGGATCGTAATTAGTATTTGGGTGGTGAACCTGATGTAATCTATGCAGAAATAGAAATATAATGATGTACACCTGAAATCTATACAATGTTATAAACCAGTGTTACCGCAGTAAAAAAAAAAAAGAGTCACTTGTAGTTCCTCTTCTGTGAACTTTCTGTTAATAGTCTTTGCCCATTTCTCTAAGGGATTACAGGCTATTTTCTTATTGATTTATAAGAGTACTTTATATATGAAGGAAATTAGCCCTTTGTCTCTGATGTGAGTTACAATTATTTTTTCCAGTCTACCATCTTTGCCTTTGGTGCAAGCACCAAGAATTTGTGTGCTTGTGTGTATGCGGAGTTGAATTTATCGGTCTTTTCCTCTGATGCTAATGGGTTTAATGTTTTTCTTAGAAAGTCTTTCTCCATTCTGAGATTATTTAAAAAATTCTCTCGTGATTTTTTCTAGTGCTTTTATAATGTTTTTCTTTTAAGCTCAAATATTTGATCCATCTAGAGTTTATTTTGGTGTAATGTGTTAGGTATAAATCCAGCCTTATCTTTGTTTGTTTTTTCTACTGGGCAACCCAGTTGTCCCAGCGCCATTGGTTGAATCTCCATCCATACTTATTTTTACTTGTTCGTATCTATTTCTGGATTTTCTTATTATTTAAAAATTATTTTAAAAAATTATATGAGTATTATACATGAATTCAATCTCATGGTAAAAAAGTTCAACCAATGGTGAAGTGTACAGTTTCTCAGAAGGGCCCTTTGCTTCTCTTCCTCCCATTTTCTTGCTTTTTCTGAGATAATCACTGTTAACAGATCAGTGAGTATTCCGTTTAGACCTTTTTCTACTACTCTTGTGTGTACACATGTGTATAAATCACATGTGTGTATATATATATCTCACGTGTAATTTGGGGGAATATGGAGATTATCTATACCTATCTATCATATCCTATCACATGTAATTTGCTGCAAGCTGCCTTTTTCCCCCCTAACTCTATGTCTTAGAGTTCTGTGGTAGTCCATGCAGTTCTCCCTCATTATTCTTATTTTTAACATGCATGGATTCCTTACATGAATGTATCATACTTGATTTACCACTGACCTATTGTCATACTTGTAGGTTGTTGGGAATTTTTTCCTGATTTTAGCAAGGCTGTATATATAGCTTATGAAGTGTGTAGCATTGCTTCTCTTTAATTTGTGGTAAGCCTCATTTAAAATGTTTATTTATATGATTTACTTTTGTGTAATCCATGAGGAAGAAAATCTGAACCACATTGAGTGATATATTAGTAATATTTTGTGATAATCTTGTCTTTCTAGATAAAATTTGATGCTGGGACCCTCCTTCTTAGTACACACCGGCTAATTTGGAGAGATCAAAAAAATCATGTAAGATAACAGTTTTTTCCATCTGTTCTAAGTTTTAAATCACTGAAGTTTTTCTTTTTTTTTTTTTTCCTTTCTGGGAAAACTATAAATAGATGCAGTAAATTTTCATTTTCAGAATGTTGAAAGAGTGTGACCCATATGATCTCACTGAATGGAGTAGAGACAGAAGAGTAGGTGTTGTCCCTCATTCAGCTCCAGCAAAGTCTGTAGTTACTGAATAGAGAATCACGGTGACACCAGCCAGATCCTACCTCATAAATGCATGTTCCGTGTGCAATGGGAATGATTCTCCCATCAGTTGTCAGGGGTCCTTAAAAAAACTCATACATCCTCAAAACAACCCTTTCTCCCTGATTGTTGTTGAGAATTAGGAGGACAGGTCTGCTGTGAAGGGCATGCTTTTACCTAGATATTAAGAACTGCTACAAGTCACTCAGCAAGAGGAGAAACCCCCTCATTTTTTCATTTTGAGGAAGAGAGAACAAGTTATGTGTATGGAACTGATATCTTTATTCCAAAGAGCTTTAACTTGAAATTGTGTGTGTGTGTGTGTGTGTGTGTGTGTGTGTGTGTGTGTAAATTTCAGCATTGCCAGTAAATTAAACAATCTCTTTTACATTATTTTCATAATTGCTGCCCCCTCCCCATGAAATTTTAATTCACAGATAAGCTATATACTATACTGAGGCTTTTTGAAAGGCCACTAACATTGCAAAATCTGACTCTTTTTGCCCCTCAAGAACCACTTTTTGCCCCTTTACTGGCGATATTGCCCTTGTTGATAAGTATACCTTAGAACTGTTAATGTTGTCTAATTCTTTTAAAAGAAATATACATTCAGGAAAGAAATCTTTTTTGGAGGGATCAGTGTCCTTAAACCATGTTTATAAATTAATTAATCTTAGTATAATTTTTTGATTATCATATAAAGAGGCTAATTTAGAAATCCTTTAGACCTGTTAAATGCCAGTCATTTGTAATAATTTTTAAAATTAAATGTACTAATAAAGGGAAGCTACGTCAGTATTTTCTGTTAAAAATGAATTGTGGGTGGATGAGTAAAGTATAGAAAATCATAAAGAAGAAAAATCACCTTTATAATATACTCCTTAAAGTTGTTTTGATTTACCTGTTCTATTTTTTGTTTTCTATATAAGAATATATTATATATAAAAAGTTTTCATATAAATACTACTTTTTAAAAGATGTACATACTGTAAAAGGTAGTTACAGCTGCTTTTAAACCTGTATGTTCGGCCGGCCCTGTGGCTTGGTGGTTAAGTGCGCGCGCTGCGATGCTGGTGGCCCGGGTTCGGATCCCGGGTGCGCATCAAGGCACCACTTCTCCGTCCATCCTGAGGCCGAGTCCCACATACAGCAACTAGAAGGATGTGCAGCTATGACATACAACTATCTACTGGGGCTTTGGGGGG